TTTTTTTCAGTGTACTGTTCAAAAGTCAAACTTTTATTTAAGTTTTCAAAATCAATACTTTCATTCAGCAAGAACACCGTTAATTGATCATCAGTGACAGTCAAGTTCTTTGCACACTGAAATTTTTGTTTGTGTTTTTTTCATATTCATTTTCGAAAAAGTTATCATGTGAACAAACCTCACTGCGTTAGATGTGTATTAATTAATCCATTACAAGAAAATGCAACACATTGCGGAATCAATTGCAGTGATGCTTGGTTCTCTCTTCTCTAAAAAAAAGAAAGCAGAATAGACTACATATTGCGTTCATTAAATGCATTGAAGATGGAGAGTTCAGCACATTATTAAAGAGCTGCGCTATGATTATCCCGAAATGCAAAGTTTATTTCAGGAAATCAGTGGAGTTTGATACATTTCTTGTGATACTTCACACACTCACGTATGTAAACAAATGTACCTATAGACATTATAATAGATGGTGGCCGCGTTGACGTGTTAAAGCAACGGACCGAAATAACATAAAATGTATGGACACTCACAAATACACACACCAAGCAGCAGCAGGGGAGAGGTGTGCTAGCCACTGAATCCAGCACATAGCGGTTCTCAGTTATCCACCACATTCTTTCTTTATTTTATGCGCTGCGTTTGTCAAAGTTATCTGTAGCTCAAATGACAGCATTCAGTATTTAACTATTTGCTTGTACTGTGACTTTGAACTGTCAAAACACCTCTCAAACTGGTTTGATTTTTATTTATTTATTTATTTATTATTTTTTAAATGACGGAAAAGGACGAAAGTTTCAGGGGCAGTGTGTCAGTAGGATTCACACAATATAAGGTCCTATTTTTGTGCGAAAATTGCGGGCAAAAATTTTGGATTCAGTGTGCAATAACCTTTAAGGTTGTCAAAAGTATCAGCCGTACTGAAATGTTAAAATAGTCCTACCATTGGAATTCTTCAAGTAACTGTATTGATTTACACCAGCAAAGTCTGGCATCCAGAATTCCAGCCTCAACAGAGGTCAAATGTTAGCTGGAAATTAACACTTTAAACATTTAAGCATCAATTGATACCAAAGTCAATATACTTTTGACAACCCTGGTAACAGTAAAGATATTTGTTTAATAAATACATTTCAAATGAATACTGTTCTTTTTAACAAGTAATAGTTTCCCACAAATATATTAAGCAGCACCACCATGCACAATCCAACCACTATGCACAACTAAATAATAATAATAATATTAATAAATGCTTGAGCACAAAATCGGCATATAAAATGTAATTTAAAAGATCATGTGACACTGAAGATTGCAGTGCCTTAAATAAAATGTAAAAAAACAACTTTTTTTAAAGTTTTTTTTTTTTTAAACTTTTTTAAAACTTTTTTTTTTAAGTTTTTTTTTTTTTTTAAATGTTAAAAGAGTTTTTTTAGTGATGGCACATTTCATTTTTTCATTTTCAGTTTTTCATTCTTAAAATTACATAAATATATTAAAATCGAAACTGCTTATATACGGTACAGATATTAACTGGTGGAGTTTTGGTGTAACGTCACTTATCAGTCATTCTGCACCCAAACATACTTCCTCTTTCTGCAACCCTTCCCTGCATACCAGAACTGAACAGTAAAGTGCATCTTCAATATATTTCGAAACTTCTACAAGCATCCAGCTTCTTGTGACCTGTCTAGACTTCTTGTTAGACAGTAGTCTGGAGCAAGGCCCCCTGCACTATATTTACTCTTATTCTGCTATTTCCCTCTTGTATGCAGTCCTTCTAAGAAGTATGCAACACAGTAAGACAGAAGAATTATGTTTGGTTCCTATATACAGTATGGCATCGTTCAAAAGAAAAAGACTGAATTATCTGTATCTGTTTTAGTCTAAAAAATGTTTCTAATAATAAATAAAGACACAAAAGTAATACAAATAAATTCCTTTTTCCCCACAGCAGCCTTGATGAGCATAATAGACTTTATTTAATAGCACTAACAAATCTGACCAACCCAAACTTTTTATGGTAATGTGTTTCTGTATACAACTCCATCTGTGTGGTCTAATGCCTTGATTTCATCACTCTCTCTTTTACTTTCAACTGTTCTTTCTCTCACACACACCCTTAAAGCAGTTTGTTGATGAGCACAGCAGATGTTGCTGTCAAAGTCCGTGGAGAATCAGTGGCGGCAGGAGTGGAGGGCACTATTAAACTGTTAGAAATGGGACCGGGTTTAGCTCTCTCCCTCAATTTCTTTGATAAACCCCCAAGACAAAACAAAGGGAGAAAGCCTACTGACTCATTCCTTTGGTCTGGAGATGCAACAAAGTAAATGTCCTCCTCCCTTTGTATACTGAAGCACCAACAATCACAAACACACCCTGCAATTAACTAAATAAACCTTTCAACCACTGAAAACCTCTCCAATGTGCTTCTCTGAGAATGAGACTCCGAAGAAAAAGTGTATCTGAAGAATGAAATCATCACACAGGCTGCCACGTGTGCGTTCATATTAGAACAGCTTGCAATCTGTCGCCAAATGAAACTGGCATGGATGGCACAAAGTGAGGGAGTGTGGGATGTAGAGATGGCTCATAGGAAGCAGAGAGAGAGAGGAGCTTGGGCTGAATGGCATTGGAATTCCCCAAGTAACTTTATTGAGTCCAATTTGATTTACACCAACAAAGTCTGGCATCCAGAATGCCAGCCTTGTGTAAATGCCAATCAAGATTCATTTAGTACGATGAGGCTTGATTTTCACTCAAGGAGAGAGCCAGAAAAGGTGGATTTTACTCGAGACGTGCAGTGTATTTATGGGAAGTGAAATGAGGTGCATCTAATTTCGCAATTTAATTATTTGACACATCCATTTTTTTCACTATGCCATATAAGCTACATAGGAAGGGGCCTTCTTTTTTAAAATGTACAAAGACTACAGTGAAGGAAATGGAAAGGGCGATCAAGGGGAAGGCATTTTGCAGTCTTAAAAAAATGACGTAAGAGCACATTGCTTTAAGTCTTGTAAAAAGAAAGATGGAAAGGAAGTGTTTATGTGGTTTGGGGAGCCTCTGGACAAACCGAGGCATCAGTCTGGACAGATTAGATGAGCTAAGAGGCTGAGTCCTGCTGGGTATTTTCAAATGATTTCGAGTTCCTGACAGTAATAATGATGATAGCATTACAGTTCTAAAGATTCAGAGAGAAAACACGCAGCATTTCTCGACAGTTTGCCACTCATGAGATGGGAAAACACGATAGCTTGATCTTGAACTTTGAGCATAGCTTTATGGGGGATTCATGATAGATTTACAGGTGCTTTGGAAATCTTTGTTTCTTCTTAATCAAAGAAAAATAATGTAACAATGATAAACAGGCTATTTCTTTTTGGATCGTTTTTTACAATTGGTTTACATTCATCCAAGACCAAACAAACATTTTAGGTTTAAAAAGTAATGATAAATAAATAAGTAAATGTATATATCAGTCAAAAGTTTGGGGTCAGTTTAAGGCGGCCTTTACTAAATGTAAAAAAGTTAAATTGTTAAATATTCATAAAAAAATTTAAATAACTGCTTTCTTATATGTAGTTTCAAATGAAATCAATACTCCAGTCATTGTTGCTTTTATTACTATTACCATTAATAATAATAATAATAATAATAATAAATATTCAAGTGATTTCTAAAGGATCATAAGACTCTGAAGAAGTAACGAAGCTGGAAATTCATGATTAAAATCACTGAAATAAATGATTAAATGAAATGATAAACTACTTTTGAACAGTTCTTTTGTTCTTTGCAATAACATTTCACAATTTTACCATTTTTAATGTATTTTTGATTAAATAAATGCAGCCTTGAAGAGCACGATAGGCTTATTTTAAAACATTTAAAAGTCTTACTGACTCCAAACATTCGACCGGTAGTGTATATATACACATACATGCATTCAATCATTGCAGCATCAACTCTCTTTCATAAAACCTAAAATGGTTCATTCATAAATCTGGTTTCTCTAAAATTAAAAAAACAGCCATTACTATATCTGAATATAATCTCAGGAGGCTATATATCATGCTAGCATTCAAACATTTGTGCGCCAATAATATTTTATTTATCTATTTTTATGTTTTGACTGTCTTCCATGCTTACCAATACTATTGCAATTTAAACTACAGTGGTCCCTCGCTATAACACAGTTACCTTTTGCGGCCTCACAGCAATTTGAAATGTTTTTTATTTACAGCGCATTGTGTTCTGTGTCCTGATTGGCTGTAGACCATTGTCAATCAATCTCCTCCAAGCCGTGTCTCCTGTACAGGCACCTGCGTGTCAAAGGCACCTGTATTAGCACCCAAAAGGCAGAGGAAGATGCTAACCATCGCACAAAAAGTTGGACTTCTGAACATGCTAAAGTAAGGCGGAAGTTACACGGCTGTAGGGCGCCATTAGGGAATAAATGAATCTTCGGTACGCTACATTCAGTTTTGCAGCCTTAAAACATCTTATTATAATTGAAAATGAACGTTGATGACTTTGAGTTTTTTTTTTTTTTTTTACAAAACTTCTGCGATTAACGAGGGACCACTGTATTTCTATTTGAAAACATTTTAAGGTATAATTTATTCTTGTGAAGGCACCATTGCTTTTGCAACAGCCTGAAGTTATTTTAAAATGTTAATTTTCTTCTCAAGAAACATTTATTAGCACATTTAGTTTAGAGGAACAGCATTTACTGTATTTGAACCAGCAGTATTTTATTCCAGTGCATATGCCTTTACTGTCACCTTTGATCAGTAAAAGGCCTTTTTTGAAAATAATCTGCTAATTACTTCTGAAAGAATCTAAACTTTTTCTCCTTTGCACTTTTCCTCCAGTTTCACACTAATGCAAATGAATACCGCTTGCATCAGGCTGCCCTGATTATGTTACTTTAAGTTTGTTTTCTTCTTAATTGCTCTGGTGCATATTCAATACTCACATCCACATCCTCTCTGCAGGTAATTCCCAGATGGGGGCCACTATAGTAGACGCTCTGGATACGCTTTATATAATGGGCCTTCATGACGAGTTTAAAGATGGCCAGGAGTGGATCGAGCAAAACCTGGATTTCAGTGTGGTAAGTGGCCAAGACACACACAACAACCACCAACACTTCTCTTTGTAGGTCTGGAGTCAAAATGTGTCTGTTTTTGTTTATAGACACGATGATATCTCAGAACACTGTTATTTCACAGCGGTAAGCTGTATACTTTGGCAGGCGGCTGACACAGCTGTATTAACAGCCGCTCGACACCCCGTAACTCCTCAAAGACTTGAATCCTCAGCGTGTGAATCTTTCCGGTTTTGATCAGATTGCGGTGGCACTCGGTGGAAAACATGTGCGGAGAGAGTTGATGTGGCACATCGCTGTATCCAGGAGACGAGACTGGCGCCATGGAAACAATGCCAACCACCGGAGCTCTGCCTCCAGAATTAGCTTGTGATGTTTAGGGGAAAATGGCAGACAAAAGAGACGTCAGAGAACGAAGTGGGGCCGGCGAGTGGCCCCCAGGGGCTCCGTGTCTCCTGCTCTCCTCCTGTGTCTGCATTCACATCCTCGCCCGTTAATGGGATTTCTCCAGTTTCTATCCCTATCAGTTGTTTTTCCGTCGTCTTCAGCATCAGATACGGGGGAAGCTGTATGGTCCTCTTGGGTTTATCATCTCTCTGGTGTCTGTGTGTTGTCGTTTCACTCCCGTCTCCCTTCTGCCACCTTTCTTTTAGCAGATCTGGTGGACTCGCAGCATCTGGGATCTTATTTGCATGTTTAGCTCATCTTCTTGTCTTTTTGATGTTAAGTACATTCAAACATATGGAAAAATAGTTGAAGACAAACAATTTCTAACTGGTTTCATTTATAGTTCTAATATCTTAAAATGAAAGGGATAAAAATGAAATTTTCCTGATTATTTGCTCAGCCTCATGAATAAGGCCAAACAGAATCTGCAGATATGTTTTACTATTTCTGCGCAGAATTTTGTAGAAAATCTGCGGATTTATGCGGAATGATTTTGTGAGTATCTTAACTAAAAACCTAACATATGAAATAAAAAAAACAATACATTTTTAACTTTTATTTTTGTGTGCAATGCAAATTCACTTAGATCCACGTATTTGGTAAACAAAGCAAGTATCCCATATAATATATCTACTAAAAGACAGAAAATATTACTTTACAAACTGTAATGTAAATAAATCATATGAACATTTTCATATTAGTCAAAAATATTACTTTGATTAGCTCCAATACTAATCAAACCCACCTGCTTATAGATTTATAGTGATCTTGAAGACAGTAAATAGCATGTTCAGGTGTGTTTGATTAGTGTTGGAGCTAAACTATGCAGGACACCGACCCTCCAGGATCGAGTTTGCCCACCACTGCACTACCCTGTTAGTTATACCAGCACAATTTCCAGCACAACATGTCGTCTCAACACAAAACAATTAAGTTAGATTAGTCTTTTACAAATTTAGGTGGATTGAACATGAAACAAGTAAAGTGACCGTAATAATTACAAGAATTATGATGTTTAAGCTCGTATAAAATAATTTTTTGAGGGTATGTAAAGCATTTCACATGATTATACAGTTTATTAACACATAAACTGGGGGAGTAAAAAGTAGGCAATATTTATTTGCTGAAGTACTTCTATAAATGGAGTCATGGTTAAAATAAATTTCTAAATAGACGGGAATAAATAGGATTTCATATTTCACACATGTATGGTCCAGGAATTGGCCACATTTTTTCAAAGGCCTACAGTAGTTGGTACTTTTCACTCATTCTGTAACACCATTAGCAGATCTGCTGGACTCGCAGTGGCTGAGATCTCCTCTGCATGTTTAGTTCATCGCTTTTGGCTTTTCGAGCGGTGACCTAATTTCTTCTCTTTCCCCTCCTCACTGTTACTTTTGGACAAGCGTGTCTTATAAAGCATGTGTGCTCTGAGGAATGTCTCACGCTTGGGCCGTTGGGTCTGGCCGATGAGGGCTCACATTGGGATGGAGGTGTTGGAAGGATCTTTTTTTGGTGGAAGGCAATAATCTGCAAAGCATGAGCAAGAAAGTGAAGTGTGTACAATACTCTGTTTCCACAACAGTGTTATCAGCAGAGCTGTTGTCAACGTCGACGTTAACGTTTCTTTATTAGGTTTATTTCAGAGGAATTGTGTGGCATTGAGGACTGAGCCTTTATTTTAAAATTCAGCTTTTAAAACTCCTTTAAAAATTAAATGTAATAGTTGCTCTAAATAATTCATGCTTTAATGTTTTTTGGTGAAATAACTAGAGCACTGTTGTGAATAAGAGACATATTTTTAGAAATTAAATTTAACCGCTATTTATAATAATAATAATACTCAATATTAATAAATACAATAATCATGTTCATGATAGCTTTTTTTATGTTCATAAAAGCTTCCCTTTTTTATATTTAAAAAATAATAATAAAAATTAAATCTTGCAGTTTTTTTTTTTTTTTTTTAATAAAATGCTCTTAAAAATATGTAGGCCTAATTTTAAGATTTGTGTATCTGAATTGTATGTCAAAATGTCCCTCCATTTGATTTGCACATGATTAACAATCTAATAAGCTAAATGTGATTCATAATATAATACATATGATAAATATGACAATGATAATAAATATAATAGCTAAATGAAACTTTTTGTAATTGTATATATTAAACATAGTAGCAGGTTTATATTTCATCTGTAAATCAAATAAGTTTTAGTTTAGGGCTGCACAATATATCGTTTCAGCATTGATATCGCAGTGTGTGCCTTCGTAATAGTCACATCGCAGCATTTGCAATGTGAAGTTGGGATTATTATAGTTGATCAGCAATAAAGAATGCACAGTGTTTACATTTTACATGACATTTGATTATTCAATAAAGACAGGACAAAATAGAGATATGGATGAGGTGGTGCTTCTCGTAATGGTGGATCAAACATGTAACAGTGTTGAAATTCTAAGAAATATATGTGCTGTTAATAAAATAAATACATCTTATAACTTTTTGAAATATTTTTCCCTTTTCATTTACAAATATCATGATATATTGTGGATGGTTTTCGTGTGTTACATTGCTGATATCATTATTATCTATCATTATTGTGAGCAAAAACTCATGATAATATCCTATTATATTGTGCTTATTTTACTACTTATTTAACTTTTATCTTTGCTCTATCTTATTTCTTTATTCTTGCATTTTCTTTGATTCACTCCTCTACAAGATTATTCCAGTTATTAACCAATCAAAGTTAATAATTTAACTTTAATGATTTAACTAAGCTATTTACTCATCATAGCACACGTGCTGCTCATATCGCAATATAAATCACACAAAAAAGAAAGATTTTTCCAATACCGTGCAGCCCTACTTCAAAAAGTAAAAAAAAAAAAAAAAAAAAAAAACTTTTTTAATGTACTAGCATATTCACGTTATTTGTTTGACATGTAAAATATCTGTTTTGATATGTATCATTAATAAATGTGTTCCATTTCATGGAAAAAAAACTTTTATTTATCACCAAGAACACAGTTTAAAAAAAAATAATAATAATGTTCTATTAAAGAAAAATCAACAACAGTACCTTTCAGGGGACTAAATTAAGAAAGAACTTAAACTCTTGGGTGAACTGTGTGTGCCTTTACTTTTATTAGCTTTGTTTTTATTGTTAACCTTTGCAGTCTATATTTACTATAAATATAAATACAGTGGTCCCTTGTTAATCAAGGGCGTTCCGTTCTAAAAATTAGCCGCAATAGATGAAATCTGCGAGGTCATCAGCGTTATCTTTTTTTTTTATTATTATAGCTGTTTTAAGGCTGTAAAACAGATGTAGCGAACCTGAAGATTCATTTATTTCATAATTGCACACTACAGCCTCGTAACTATTACCTTCCTTTAGCATGTCCAGAAGTCCAACTTTTTGTGAGATGGGCAGCATCTTCCTCTGCCTTTTAGGTGCTACATCAGGTGCCTTTGAGGGTGGGTTTTTTTTTTTTTTTTTTTTTTTGTGGAGAAAACTTGCAAACATACAGCACAGCATTTCAGAGTCACACTGCTAGAAATCCAAGACTTATGTCAATTTGTTAAGCTGAACGCATTCTGTACTGTACAGTAGGCACGGCACAGTGGAAATTGATTGACAGTGATCAGGATGCAAACCACAATGCACCAATCAGGACACAGAACACAATGCGCTGCGAGTCCGCAAAGGGTGGACCACTGTATATTCAGTTAAAATATAAAAATCTTTACTTCAGGCCTGGATATAATTGGAGGGTGGATTGTTCACTCAACAATAGGTGAAGAAAAGAAAAGGAAAATAGACACACCATGATAAAATTCCAAACACAACACCGTTTTTGTCTTGACAATGAAAATCAGTGGGTTCCGAAACACTGTCTTTCATTGCATTTACAAAATACATTTTCAAAATATCTTCCTTTGTTTCCCTCAGAAGAGCAAAACGCATCTCTCTCTCGTTCTCTCTCTTTTCTCTCCGCTTCTGTTGTGATGATGGATGAGGCTGCCTGCCATCAGCATTAATCGCAGCTGTTAAACCAAAAACTGAATTAATGGACCTTGGTCAGGGAACGGTCATATCTGAATTAATCTGGTGCACGTTCACTTTTGTCAAAATTAATAGACATGCTAAATGAATGCTAAGTGAAAGGGGTTGGTTAAAGCGTGTTCTTGTCTTATCAAATTAGTGTAAAACCTAATCGATATAAGACGCTTTAGCAGCGTTATGTTCAGAACTGGAAAACAGGCTTATATTTCATAAGCGCTATACAAAAACAGGTGCTGTTTTTAGGTGCGCTGGATTATGGGATTGAGAGAGGGCTAAAACTATTTCGGGAGCTTGTACCAAACCATTGAACTTCTCTGTGTCTGGATTAGTTTTTGTAGGTGTAGGTGTGTGTGTATGTGTTTTGACAGTGAGTAGTTGCTACAGTATTTGCAAAGGTGATATCTCTCTCTCTCTCTCTCTCTTTGTTTTTGCATGCGTTTAAAGCTGAGTGATGGTAATTTTCTGTAAATAAAGGTTTAAATAAAGATGGATGTTTATGATACAAACACACACTTTCTCCTCTCCAGCATTTATTTCAGTCTCACTGGGAGATTATTGTATTACCTTTGATGTTGAATTGAAGTTCATTTGAGAGCATCTGTGATATATAGTAGATATTTCATGCACATTATTGAAGCTGATTAAATGTTTGTTTGAATTATATATAGCACAGCCGCTGGATTCTGGGAGTGAAAATTACATTTATTGTTAATTTCTGCCACGAAGACATTTTAATCTACTTCCAGTCCAAAAAAGGCAATTTGTTTGAATATTTGATGCGTTGTGTTTTACCTCCATTACCATTTAAAAGTTTGTTGTCGAGTATTATAAAAATATCAGTAAATTCACACTTTTTTTCAGAAAAGGACGATTAAATTGCTAAAAAGTGAGAACAAAGACATGTGTAATGTTATGTAAGATTTGTTAAAAAAATCAATGCTTTTTTCATGAACTTTTTATTCCTATAGAATCCTAAAACTTGCACTGATACAAAATAGTATTCTATTATTTTTTTAACACTGATAATAATAAATGTTTAAAAATGTTTCTTAAAAGAATCTTTAAGAGTTTGACTGGAAAACAAAAATGAGGTTTTGTAGAACACCATTGATGGTGTCAAAATATGTTAACAGTCCACAGTCAGAGGAATGCTGGAGGGGTTGCAGGAGTATAGCTAATAATCACACATATATTTTGGGAATGTCCGATGTTACTGGGATTTCGGCAATGGGTAAAGATTGAGGTAATGAAAATTATGCAGTTAGATCTACCTTTTACTCCCGTTTTTCTTGCTTGAAGGGATACCCCAGGATGTATATAATAAAAAAACAGAGATATTTACTAAATTTACATTTATTAATAGCAAGAAATATAATAACAATAAACTAGATGAAGCCACACCCTCCAAAAAAAGCACAGTGAACAGAAAAACTTAAATCAATATATAAAATGGAATTTACAGTTGAAGTCAGAATTATTAGCCCCCCGGTTTATTTTATCCCAAATTTTTGTTTAATGGAGAGAATATTTTTTCAACACATTTCTAAACAAAATAGTTTTAATAACTCATTTCTAATAACTGACTTATTTTATCTTTGCCATGATGACAGTAAATAATATTTTCCTTGATATTTTTCAAGACACTTCTATACAGCTTAAAGTGACATTTATAGTCTTAACTAGATTGGTTAAGTTAACTAGGCAGATTAGAAATTAAAAATTATTAACAATTTATTATAGATTAAATAGATAAAAATAAAAAAAAGCTTAAAGGGGCTAATAATTTTGTACCTAAAATAGTTTTAAAAAATTAAAAACTGCTAAAATTCTAGCCGAAATAAAACAAATAAAATTTTCTCCAGAAGAAAAAATATTATCAGACAAACAGTGATAATTCCCTTGCTCTCTTTAACATTATTTGGGAAATATTTAGTATTTGTATGACTACTCAACTTCAATTGAAATTGGTTGTTTTTAAACAAAGATGGACACCTGTTACTATGTATCTGAACATGGCAACAGGACATAGTATTCCTAGCTGTAACTTTTGAAATTTAAAAAATAATGTTTGTGTCTTTTTGTAATTTTGTTTTTATTTACTGGTAGTGTTACTTCTTTTTATTATTATTATTATTATTATTTTCCTATATTTATATATATATATATATATATATATATATATATATATATATATATATATATATATATATATATATATATATATATATATATTAATAACTGCTGCGGTCACTGACTGTTTAGTTCTGTAAAATGTTTTAATTAAAAAAAATTTAAAGTAAAAAAAAAATCTGTTGGATAGTATTACTAAGATATGATGCATCACAAAGCATTTATTTAATTATATTTAATAATATAGATTTTTGTCATGGCAAAGCTAAAGAAAATGAATATTGTAACTATTTGAATAATACTATGATTTTAGGGCACTACAAAAGGTGCGCATGAAGTCCACATGAAGATCACTAAAACTGAACTGTGAAATTACACATAAGAGAGACTTAAATTCTTTAATGTTTTGAAATCATTCCAAGTTTAAATGTTGGAACGTTCGAAAGGAATGGGTTGTAGGGGGGATAACTGGGAATAGAACACAACCAGGAACTATGCTTCTAACTACAGCTCTAGAGAAATGGTTGTAAACGTATAAGTTTGTTGGAAAGATGGATTTGGGAAACACCAAACAAACTGTTTATAACGATGGAACTTGCGACGTTAGTTGGCTAATGATGATTTTCGGAAACGCACTCCTGGGCGGGTTGTTTGATTTGGGGGGTGGAATTTGCTCGCCCTGGCTTGACAACGGAAAATTGGCTGTTTTTTGTGCCACCTGGTGGATATTAAAAAAATAATAATTATGTAATGAAAAAGAGGCCTTCGCATGACTGCGCATGACACATTGCAGCATGATGTGTGAAGAAAATGCACATTCTCAGTGGCCACATCTGTAATATTACTATTTCAAACAATTTAACTGTTTTCGACTAAATTAAACTTTTATGAACACGAAATCTGAAATGTCTGATTGACCCCATATTATAAGGTCTTGTACTGATTCCAGTAGATTTGTATTGATGTTATTGTATTCGATAATATCGTTTTCAATATTTCATGGGGTTAAAAAGTTATTTTCTTATTGATTTTTTAAAGTAAGCAGTCCTGACATGCACCCTTGTCTGCTTTTTTAAATCAAGCCATGAAATATTTGCTGGTGGCTTGGGTTTACTCTATTTGTTGAAGATTTTGTTGCAATCCCTTATGTGGTTAAAAAAAAACTATTTGAGAAAAATAGTTGTGGAAGCAAGGTCTCTGAGAAAATGGACAATCACTGCTGTGCTCTTCAATTTTTCCTTTCTATTTCTACAGAACGCAGAAGTATCTGTCTTTGAGGTCAACATCCGCTTCATTGGAGGCCTTCTGGCTGCGTACTACCTCTCTGGACAGGAGGTACGTTATCACTGTTTATTGATTTCTGCGGGTTTGTGTGTGTCTTCCCTGTCTGTGCCATTTAGTTATTCCAGATGATGGATATGTGCAGTGGCCGCCACCTAGATGAAGATCTGACCAGAGAGAGTTCATCTTAGGGCAGCGCTGTTGGCTCAGAGAACTAAGAATGGCTTTTTCAGGGGAAATAAACGCCCCTCTCGCAAGCCCATGTTAATTAACGCTTCCCTTCTGTCTTATCTGCCCATGGACTTTAATGGGCAAGGGCACAAATAGCCTGTCTCTCCACCCCCATTACTGGGCAGCGTATCTCTACCACTGCATATCGCAGGGTTCTCCTTCTTTTAGTCTGAAGGTGAAAATGCAAAGAAATTAAACTGCAGCCATGCGGCACGACCTCGCCGCCGCTCCACACACTTCATTAGATGAGTTTAGATACTGGACGTGGAACGCGCCACACTTGCATACAAAGTCATTGTGCTTGTCTGTCCCCTGACTGCCTCTTTCTGTCCCCAGTGACCTTTTGTTCTGTCACTATGGTATGTTTTATACATATGCAGTACAGCATGCACTGTCAAAAATATTCTTTAAAGTTTACAGTAAAAAAAAAAACTTGCAGAGACATTCGAAATTTGGAGATAACATTTAGAATATATTTATATAGAATATATTGAAGCAATGTTAATACACCAACAAATATTAACATTTACATATGAAGTATTAGGATCTTTTAAATTAAGGGATCGGTTTAATTCTGCTCAAAGGCAATATTTATAAATTTAAATAGCACTTATTGTGCAAAATTAACATTTAGAAAAATTAAAATTTGTGTAGGGATAGTGTGTTCACAGTAATATTAGGGTGATATAAACTAAAGTCTTTTTTTTAAATTTCCTTACATTAAAATTGGATCCAAATTCCAACGATTTTGAAGCCCGCCACAACATGATGTAGCAGTTTTTTTTTTTTTTTCTCCGCCCACAGACATAGATGGACAGGCATGTATTAACGTCTTGGTATTACCAATAGCTAATAGTCTCAGTATTAGCGGGTTTAAACATCCACAAGACAGGATTTGCAAAAAAACTGGGATTAAAAGATCTGTTTCAACTCTCTGTGATCAGCCTACACTTTAAGAAGCAGTAAGTGGTACATTTTATATTTTTATAGCATTTTGAACTATATTTTATGTCATTCATAATCACTGGAATCAGCACAGCTGCATAGTGTAAACAACTATAAGCAAAGTTGCTTCGATCACACTACAGGAGTCCTGGATTGAGGACATTAAATCTGGTTTTGTAAAGTAAATAAGCTATAATGGATGTCTATACAGCAGCAGATTTACATGTTTGGTGGGCATCCTGTCAAATTTTACATGAGTAGAGAGGCAAAAATGGCACAACGTGTTAAATGTGTGTCTGCGCAAAAATTGTAATGGCATTCGTGTGTGGCTCATTAATCTTACTGTGGTATTTTTGAGAAGTTCTGTTTCATCATGTCTGATAATAACATTTTGTGTGTTTATCCTGACATCTGACCATGATTATCCTTCTATGAAACTAATTGTCCCAAGAATAGGCGGGGAAAACCAGCTTTTTTTCATTTAAAGGCCCAGGCGCAAACAGCTACAATTCTCTCCGACCCTAAAATAGTCAGTTTCAACAGGGTATAATAAATGATCTGATAGGTATTTTGACCTGAATCTTCTCAGACACATTCTGGGGACACTGTTAAAAGGCCAAAATTGAAGCCCTTTCAAAGGGGGATTCTAAAAGAATTGACTCTTTACAATCAAACAAACAAATTCGCCCAGACACCTAATGCCTAGTTCACACTTGAGGATTTTAAGCCTGATTTGAGCCCGATTTGGAAGTTAACGAGCTCGCCGACAGATCGGGCTGTGATCGGGAAGAAATCTGCGGGTGCTCGGCGTTTGCCGCTCTTTATGTGTGAACTACTAAACAACGCATCAACGAGGCTCGCTGACGTGTCAGCGACACCTCGCAGACGGAAATCCAACATTCAGCATGCTAAATATTCCAGAGCAGTCGGCCGACTCAACCCCACGTGTGGTCAGATGTAGTGACGAGCTGCAGCCAATGAGAGAGCATATCAGCATGAGCTGAATGCCTGTGTTTTCAGGAGCTCAGCAGAAACATCTGTGATTGGTCAGAATGGGCATCAAAGCACTCGCTTCATTCTGTGTTAACACAGACATGAGAGTAGGATATATTAACGTGGAGCTAGAATTCTGTAACTAGAATTAGAACTTAAAATTAGAATTACCATACTGCTCATTCTGACCGTTCTCATATAAAACGCCATATTGTCACATCATATTTACATTCAAAGCTATTATTGAGATATTAAAATTAAGCTTTGAATGTCTGGCATCATATTTAATGACACCATTACCCTAAAAATATAATCTTTTTTTTGGTAATACAGCCTATAAATATGTAGTTAAGATACTAAAACACTTAAAGGTCTTGGCTTTCATTTTCACTTTCAAACAGGAGCTATTTCACAGCACAGAATATGCTGTTTTGAAAGATACCTGAAGTAAATTGATGTTTTTGCCATCAGAAGGTTTTGTTTATGTTAGCAGAAAGTTGCCAGGCAAGAAAATGCACACATATTTAAAGTCACAGTGAAAAGTATCAGACATGCATGCAGTCATTTTAACCAATATGGTAATTTAAGGCAGAAATGCTCAGTTCTTTACTGTTTTGTAATAAAAAAAAATAACAATGTCAGAAAGAAATACACTGATAGTTAGAAAACGGCAGGGTGTTATAAATATGTTAGTTTTATTTCAAAGAGTTATAAAATTACAAAAATTAAAAACTCTGTGTATCTATCCACTCGAACCTTGCAGATGAGTGATTAATCCGCTCATAAATCAGCTGATCTGACGATGTTTTTAAATGCTTTCTCCAAAGCTTGAAACGCTGTCAGTGATGTAATCAGCACACAAGCAGCCAATAGTGTTCAGCTTTGTCTGACGACTCCTCCCTCAAAATTTCATTGGCTGTGGTTTGGTAGCTTGAATGAGCTGATGGGGAATGAGTTGTTGTCAGATCATGTAGTGTGTGACCCCCCTCTTGTGGATCATTCACAGAGTGTTGCGTAGTGTGAACACCACAGAGATTAAAAGACACAAAGTCAAGTCATGTAGTGTGAACGGCACAGCGATCTGCTGATGTTTAAAATCCTGTAGTGTGAACTAGGCTTAACAGACACATACACATGCACATTTACAGAAAATGCAGAACAAAAAAGTGAAAAAAGGAAGAATTTAAGAGAGTTACTATAAGTGAAGAAAATACAAACTTTGAGAGCAAACCAAGTGAACCAACAGTAATCATTTGGCCTGTCTATAGTTTTTTAAGAAGACATTCATGTCATATGTCTTAGTTTATGCACCAGTTCAGCATTAATATGGAGGCATTACATGCGTTTCTTGTTTGTTGTGGGGATTCTCTCTGCTGTGTTCTGATGTGGGTTTGCTGGTGGTCTGTTCTTCACTGGAGAGACGTCTCAGAAGGTCAGTCCGATGGAGCAGAGTGTTGTAGTTCAACTTAGAGGCATGAAAAGAATATAGTTGGGTTGTTTTTTCAGCACAACTTGACTTTAGCTGGACTATACAGAAAAAAAAAAAGTAAATTGAGATGGGAAGGTTGATGCTGTCCAAACTCATACCATTATCAGACTCAACTGCTCAGAGTGTAGCTGTTGAATTGTAGTGTGTTGGATATTTAAATTATCTGATGGTTCTGGCCTCAAGGAGAGCTTGAGGTATTGTCCTTGGTTTGGAATGTGGCGAATCAGCATGTTAATTCTTAGTCCCATGAGCTTCCTACATATGGCTTTCAGGAGGGTACAGTTTAAACATCATCTCTTAACTCTAAATATGATGCTTTTTTACATGTTTGATTGAAAATTTGTTTCCTTTTACTGATTTGGATTTTTGGTTCTCTGATCAAAGTGGTTCTTGATCAAAGCAGTTTTGATTATTGATGTCCGCATCACTCAGGCCTCTACAGCATTATACCTTTGTAATACACAGACAAAAACACCACCAAAAGCAGGTGATGATCAGTGAAACATATGATGAACCAATGCTCAGCTCAAACAGATTTTCCACAAGCAGAAACAGACTAAATTATTGAAGATGCTACTAAACTCCTAACACAATCGTGGTAACACACATAACACTAAAATAATTCAGTAAACATTATTTATCAACATTGGATATAACATTAAACACGAATGTAGGAATATCTCATGAGGAAAAAACTCAAAAGAACTATAGCAATGTCAGCAACATGGAAAGGATACTTACTTTATTAATGTTACAGACAAGAGAGGCTCAAGTTTACCAGTGTTTCTTGTACTGCCGCTGGCAAACATCGATTGGATTAAATGAGTTTTACCAATCTTTAAATTACATCTGGATTAGCTGGGCATTTATATCTATTTATGGCATCTAGTCAGTAAAAAGTATGCTGTGCATGGTTATTTTTTTTAAATGTAAAAACTCATGCAATTTCAGCTGTGACTAAATGCATTCTATTGGTCATAGCATCCACACGCTGAACAGAAATGTGTGATTGGTTATTATTCTCTACCTTGCCAATAATTAAATATCCCGTTCAAGTTGTGTTTGCAATGGAGGTTCGGTTTGATCAACTAATTGTTTCAGTGGTTTAGTTCTTCCTCCAGAGCAGGGTTTTTCAAAGTCTAAGACAGTGGGCCTCCCTTTTGACACAACTTATCTATTGGCGCCCCCCTCCTCCCAAACACGCACACACGCACGCACACAAATATATATATATATATATATATATACAGTATATATAAAGACACAGAAAGATGTCAGACTGTTAACTCACTTTTATCATCATTTGCATGAAAGTGCAATTATTTACAGAGTAATAACAAGTATTTTAATATAACGTTTTTAAAACTAGGATGATGGTTCAATTTGAATAAAACAG